AATATTATCGTAAAATTAAATTAATTCACTCTGTTGATTTATTTGGACAAAAAATCCGATCAAGTCCATTTAATGAGTTGTTTGTTTTAATTCAGTGTTGTAAGTTTGGCTTTGAGGAATACAGGATCTGTTGCCTGAAAGAATTAAATTAAATTTTTTTTTCCTGTGACATCTCTTTTTCCAGGCCACATGACTGTAGTTCATGACCCRTTGAGGACGGTGTCTGTGCTGGAGCCGGGAGGGCCGGACGGCTGCAGGATGAATCACAAAGTGTCTGTGGAGGAGACGGCTGGAGCTGCTGGGTGTGTCTATGCCCAAAACGCTGGCTTCTTCAACACGGCGTCAGGCAAGTGTCTGGGAAACGTGGTGAGCGACGGCCGGCTGGTACGGCACAGTGGCGGGGTGCAAAACGCCCAGTTTGGAATCAGGAAGGACGGCACTCTGGTGTTTGGGTAAGACATGCAGTTGAAACATTTGACGCTACAAAGCAAATCAAGCAAAAAGATGCGGTTTTAAGGGATTGCTGAACCAAAACAAGGACCGGTTTGATGATTAAAACATAATCATGAAAAAAAAGACAAGCTAACCAGAGTGAGCTGCCACATCTTCATTTAAACTTTAACACTGTACAAGCTGTCTTTATGGAGCCTATTATTATTGTTAGAAACAGTTTTTTTTTACCAGCACAACAGCTCCCTCTCTGCTTGTCTGCACCTGACATCACGGTTCTAAAATATATTTTCTTCTCATGTTTGTGTCTGCCTCTGGCCTCTCCGATTGTGTTTGAAGGAAACCACAATTACAACCAAGCTGCTTCCTGTTTGTGTGTCTGTGTAGCTTACTTCATAACCTCAGGTCCAGTTTAATAAACAACTCAAAAACAATCCTCAGGTGAAAGGTTCATGTGTGCATGACTCACCGTGGCACCTGTTGTTTTTCATTTCAACTTTCACATGGCAACATGACAGTCGCAGGACAAACATTTATTGATAATGTTGTGCAAATAAACCTTTTTTTAATTATTACTGTCCACTGCAGCGTCACAAAAATCTTTACCCAAAAACACAAAACACTTGATTACTAGACTGGTATAAAGGAATTTCTGGAAAGTATAATTGACTTCACAAAGGACACATTTGACAGAGCCATGTAAACAAAGCCTCTTCAGTTTATCTAGAAACCAGAGAAAAGTCAGTGCAACTTGTTTGTTTGATAACTGAGGTCAGAAATTCTAGGAATTTCTACCTGATGCAAGACTTGTGGTCCAAACACCCAGAGTTAAAGCAGAAAAAACAAAACAAAATAAATGGAACATCTATTTATTGTTCTGAAGCAAATTGTGGGGAAAAAAACTAAACCATTGTCTAATCTGAAATCTAAAATATTTATGTAGCAAATGTGAATGGTTCTTAAAATATTAAGTGTTTTCCAGGCACACATTCAATTCAATACCACAACTAAGTAACTGTTAATTTTAGTTGTTATGAAAATGCTGTATATTTCAAAATAAATTTGACTATCTAAATGCCTTGAAATTGGCCTCTGACTCTTTAAGAACCTCCTACCATTTCTGACACTCCCACTTCAACATGTTTTCACAACAGTGCTTTGGGGGAACTGTGGGGCGGGAGCTCGGCTGCAGACTGAGCTCCAGGGAGGAGCTTTATAGGCGGTACTTTGTACCAGCAATCGTTTAGGCAGCTCCACATGGCTACCACAGGAGATTCAAGGGTCTCTCAGACATGCAGGAATGAGTCAAAGCAACACTTTGAGTGTGTTTTTAATGAGGGAATGATATTATAACATGATATAAAGCTCAAAAAGTCCTTTTTGCATAATATTCCCCTTTAAAAAGCTACCATTACCTGCTAAAATTATTACAATTCTAGAGCTAAATGGTTTTTAATCATGTGAATTACAGCCTTCTATGTGCTGCATGCTAAAATTAGAGTTTTTATTAACTGTCTGGTCAGGTACGGAGCCCGCGAGTGGACATGGGGGATTTTTTTTTTCTTTTGCGTTCCCATGCAATACCTTTGCGTTACATCGCAATACTTTTGCATTACCTCGCAAAAGTTTGATTTGTATATGAACTGAATTAAATCAGACTTTTATTTTGAAATGTCCGATTACCAAAACAGGGTGTCTCGCCACAAGTTTGTGAAATTGACATTGATGTTGCGTGGCTGCACTGTGTTAAAATATCGGCTTATGACATACTTCCATGCGTGGCTGTGTGATACAGCGGGTAAAATAAGTATTGAACATGTCACCATTTTTCTTAGTAAATATATTACTAGAGGTGCTAATGACATGAAATTTTCACCAGATGTCGGTAACAACCCAAGTGATCCACACATACAAAGAAATTAAACCATAAATGTGAAAAGAATTATCAGAAGAGTTGTCCAAGAGCCAAGGACCACTTGTGGAGAGCTTCAGAAAGACCTGGAA